GGTAGCAGGTAGCAGTGGTTCCGAATCAGCGACCAGGTATCAGGTACTAGCAACAGGGCTTAGCGTTTGTAGGGGTTGCGATTGGGTGGACAGTCGGTGACACTATAGGGGCTTACGGTAATCGTTAAGGCTCGGTGTTTGATCGAGGTGTTCCATTGGCGTGTCCGGCTAACTCGCTGCTATTCACGCATGCCTCTCGAGATCTTCGAAGTGCGTTTCGACTTCGCAGGCTTGCTATATCTGGTTTAGGGCTTCACTTCTTTAGGGCTTGTTTGGGCTTTGTTTAGGGCTTGGCTTCTTTAGGGCTTGTTTGTGCGTGGTTTAGGGTTGACTTCTTTGGGCTAAATGTGGCAACGGGCGGGCAGTGTCGAAAAAGTGTCGATGTTGGAGTCTTCGTGATGTCGATGATTTGGTTTGCATCGTTTGCGCGCCGAGTGCGATTCTAGGTAGATTGTTGGCTTGGTGGGTGGATGGATGGATGAAAGGGGAGGAAATTTGTGGATCAGTCACGAGTGGCTATGTAGGTGGGTGGTAGGTTAGTAGGTGACTGGTTATAAGCGATGCTTGAGAATGGACAATCTGTTCTAGGGGCACCCCTTTTTGCAGTTGTTGGAAGGGGGAAGGGATGATAACTAAAAATGGGCGCCTGTGAACTCTGTGTCGGCGAGAAAGTCAGAGAGTAGACGTGGATGTTGGGGAGAGAGGTGGCTGGATCAAAGCAACGCTTAGAAGAATCCAGTCTAGGGGCGTTGGGTTGTTGGAAGGGCGGATAAACTTAAAAAGGGTGCCTCCTAAGTCTTAAACTTCAACTCTTTCAGGGACTCTGTGCCGCTTGCAGGTAGGTCGATGGATTGCTAGCTGGATGGATGGGTGGGTGGATGGCTGGACGGATGGATGGATGGAAGAGTGTCAGACAGAGACAGACCGACGGACAGACAGACAGACAGACAGACAGACTGACTGACTGACTGACTGAGTGACTGACTGAGTGAGTGACTGACTGACTGACTGACTGACTGACTAAGAGAGAGAGAGAGAGAGAGAGAGAGAGGAGGATAAGCTGCAGAGATAGAGAGATGAAGTAGATCTGGATAGATGGATGTGTGTATAGCCAGAGGGAGGTTGCGTGACAGAAAGATGAGTTGAGGAGAGAAGATGATAGAGATATAGAGAAGACGAAGCATAGATGTATGCAGGTTGTGGTGGCAAGTAGAATGGGTGGGTGGGCAGAGGTTTCCCAACAGCCAGAGCTGCCCAACAAAAAGGGTGCCTCGGCGCAGAGATTGAAATCCGAGATCGGTATTATAACCAACCTTTGGATCAGAAACCTTATCTAGGTCACAAAGCTCGTCATGATTTTTTGATGATGCGACAGACTTGATGGCTTGCATCCTTTGCATTCTGAGTGCGCTTCTGGGTAGATTGTTGGTTTCCTAGCTGGATAGACGGGTGGGTGGATGGATGAATGAAAGGGGAGGAAATTCGTGGATCGGAAGGTGGAACTGTTCTGGGGGCGCCCTTTCTTCAGTTGTTGGAAGGGCTTGTATATAGCTTAAAAGTAGGGTGTCTCTTAAGCTGTTAGTTTTTTCGAGGACTTTGTGTTGCTTGGAAGTAGGTCGATGGGTTGCTAGCTGGATGAATGGGTGGGCAGATGGATGGATGGAAGGGGACGAAGTGAGAGAGAGAGAGAGAGCGAGAGTGAGAGCGAGAGCGAGAGAGAGAGAGAGAGAGAGCGAGCGAGGGAGGGAGGGAGGGAGGGAGGAGAGAAAGTGAACAAATTGACTGCAGAGCTAGAGAGATGATGATGTGGTTCGAACGTGTTGACTCCTGGTAGTTTTGCGTTCACAAAACAAGTGGAGTCACCCAGATTTCTGCAGCCCTCCTTGATGGGCACCCAAATCCACAGGTGCTGCGCTGGCCACGTACTTAGCTGTTCGACTGCGGAAGGCCCCGGTGGGCGGCTGTTTCAACGGTGGGCGGCTCGTTGCTTGTGGGCCGCGGCAGGCGTGAAGAGGTCGACATGAAGAGCCCACGGCATGCACAACCGATGAGTGGTATGGTTAGTTTTTGGGTTGTGTCGATTGTCCACACGATGTATGTCCGCCAGTCCAAAACATGATTTCGACAGGGTAAGAACGGTTTGGCCTCCCGGTGGCTCGCGGCTCAGCGCCAGGAAGCGGTCTCTGCCGCTGCTGTTTTAATCGCGGCTGCCTTTCTATGCGAGGGCTTTCAGCAGGCCAACTTGACACTGGCCCACCCAGTTTTGTAAGCTGTATTGCTGGATTCATTTATTCATCGATGCATCGTCAGCTCCATCTCGCTGTTGCCATTCCAGCAGGCTCGATTTTTGCATTTTAACGATGTGAAGCCTGATATGGCATCTGTGGTGGTGACGGGATGCAGCGCATCTGTGCTTGCCAATGTGACTTTGCTCATTCACTGCCGACAAAACAGCACAATTTGTGAAATGCGACATCCGATGCTGGACCTTTACTCCAAGTACTTTAGAGAAGTGATCTTTCTTTCGAAAGATGTTAGCGAATCAAAGAGACGTGTTGTTCCATGTTCTGGCGCTGGTGATCCTCACTGGTGCATTGCATCCCAAATGAACAGCACAAAGGCTCGGGGAATCATGTATATGCAGTTCGATGTGGTCATTTCGCCATGCGGGCTGGCAAGTATGTTGAAGACGGACATGTTGGCAAGCTTCTCCGATTCGACCAAGACCTATGCCCCTTTCTGCTACTATGAAACATGCAGGCTTTTTCCGAGCTTGAACTGCGACTGGTTTCATTGGCAAGGGAAGACCACCCAGGACCAGGTTGTGAACGTGGTCAATGACCTGGAATCCGTGCTTTTCTCCGGCTCGAGGGAGTGGACGACTCGGCATGCTCGTGTTTTCAAGAAGTTGCGTGAAGGCATGATGCAAGGCAGCTCAGATCTCATCTATGTCCCACGTGAAGCTTTTCAAGTCTTCACTGCCTGTGCGCGTGTGTTCAAGATGCATGGGGTGTTTCACGAAATTGTGCACCCAACCATGCTAGAATTGGTGCCTTTTCTCACTCGAATCAGCTCCCAAGATTTGGCATGCCACGGAAGCCGGGTGAGGGAAGTCTACGAGGCTGAGTTGCTGTCCAAGGACTTTGTTTGTGGACACCGAGTGAACTATTCCAGTGGCTCCTCGTTGAAAGCTGTCCGCATTTTGCTCAATCAGACTCTTGAGGTGCTCCCCACGGAGCACCAAGCTAGTAGTGAGGTCCGTGCTCTAGATGTGCCGTTAAGCTTGGATTTTTCAACGGAAAGTATGACTAGCCAGCTCGTTGCGGCAGGTGCAGTGTTTTTTCTAATTTCCGTAAAGCTATTTCAGATGTTGAAGAAACGCAGTGCCAAGTTTCACAAGAATCTGGTCGAAATACTATGACCTTCCCTCAAAGGACCAATGAACAGGAGAACCTTGCTGTATTTTGTTTGGGTGTCATTAGTTTGACCAGATGGAATGAAGGTCGAGTCGGTCAAGTCTAACGACTTGTGGGAGGTTTCTCCTGTTTTCCTGTCGAACCTCCGACCAGGGGAGCCTACAAAAAAAGTTTCAGCTGCTTTTGTGAACATTCGCCCAAAAGCATTGTACGTGGACGGTTCTCTTCTTTTCCAGGTGATTCACGTGCATGTATGGATTCATATGGATTCATGGATCCAATCAACACGCCGCCACACTGCCCTGTTATTTACTGTCTTGCGCTCTGAGAACCTGGTAGGTCGTCCACAACAAGTTCTGCAGCTGGCTCTTTCGCAGATGACTTGGACACTTTGACCGGGGTAACAGCACAGCTTTGAGCTTTTGTAGTAGCCGTAATTGCACTGGAGTTCTGTATACTGAGCCTCAGAAAGGGAACACAAGAAACTCTCATCTGTCCGACTGTCGCACGCACAGTCCGACTGCCGCTCACTCTGTTCGCAGCAATTGACCTCTCGACTCTCGACCGGGTGCGTCGAGACCGGTGTGTCGACCGGGTGCTCGACAGGGGTTCCGCACGATCTGGGTGTTCCCCCGATCCCCGTTGAAGCTTTTGACCGGGTGGAAGACAGTCGACACCGCACGCTGCAGGTTGTGGCTGCACCTGGGAGTGGTCCGGTGGATGGGACAACTGTGACTCGGATTGAAATCATTTTGTCCACGAAACAAACGAAGTCACTCTTAACGGGGCTTTTCGAGAATTGTCAAACGTCGCCTCCTCACTTGAGGCAATGTCCACAATGCCTCTGGCCCGAAGTGCCCGTGGTGTGTCGGATGCCGAGGAGTTCAGAGTTGGCATCGCTCTCTTGGTTGCTCCAAAGCCAGTGTATTTGATTCATCGGACCCGCGTGTTGTCAGCCTCCCGGAGGCTTGCCTCCCAGGACCAGTTTGAAGATTGATGATAACTTACTGTCTTCAATTTAGCAACTTTTCCAGCATACATGGAGTATTACTGCACCATATTAATTACAGTTCCTGGTCTCTTCTTTCTCAACCAACCAGTGCGAGCAGGTTTTGCTTGGTCGCCTTTGATTCTTGTTCAGGTGGCCAGACTGTCCCTTGCATGGACCACTGACTGCCTGCCGCTTGCCGTCATGCTCCTGGCCTTCAGCGAGGCCCGACAAAAGGTGTGTTGAGAGTTGAGGGTGAATCTTTGGAAGTCTGCCTAATGTTGTGGCATTTTGAGGTGTAGCTGACTCGTGCAGTTCATGCGATAGGATGAACATGCGGATGGACTCTGGATCAGAAAGCATGCGGCAGATGCATTGCCATCAGCAGTCCGAAACCGTCAGCAGGTTGAAGCAGTTTGAAACACCGATTCATTCATATAGGGTTGACCGTGGCCACGTGTTTTGGAGGCGAAAATCCGAGGGTGGGCCTGGTGGCTTCGACTGCTCTTGCCGGTGCTGAGCTTCTTCCTACTGGGCTGCTTGTCAGGAGTGAAGAGAAGAGACAAGTAAAGGCCAACAGTGTTGTCAAGATGTTGAACGATGGTCATCCAGATCTGTATTTTTGTAGTGAAACAAAATGAAACAATTCGGTATTTTTGTTTCATTTTCAAGTGGTTGATGCCCTTGTGGTTGGTGTGAACACCAATTTTCATTGTACACTTTCGTTCTCACTGGTCGTGCAGTACTTCTTGCCAACAGTCTCCCAGGGACGCTGGTGGCGCTTTGCTTCAAGTTCACCAGTGGATATCCCTACTTTATCACCGGGCCTGTGCATGGCAAAGTACCATGAGGGGAGAAGAAGCTGGTGTGTTTGGTGTGCAACATGTCGTGGTGGAAGGAGCTGGGTCCTGGGCATGGTGGAAGGAGTAGACTTGGTTCGAGGGAGTTATAGTAGCTTGGAGGATCAATCTTGGAGGCAGCTGGTAATTTGGAATTCTTGCACACAGGAACTCAAATTGCAGAGTCATCAGAGCTTCTCATTCAGACTTAGTTTCGTGTGACCTGAGATTGGAGTGAGATTCTTTGATGCATACTTGCCACTTTAGCTGGCTCAGCTTGATAAAAGAGTGTCCCACTGCAACATTTCACGTATTTTCATGCCTTTTCCCTGCCTGGAACAATTTGCCGAGATTACTTTGTGCCAATTGTCGCAGCTCGATAAGCACACCCCGAGGTGGTTGAAAAGAGAGAAGAACCACCATTTTCAAGCTCGTTTTCCTTTCCTCCAAGCGGATCATGACATGGGAGTCAAGATGAATTCTTGAAGCCCTTCACTTGTACATCTCACGCAAAGGCAGGTGTGTGTGTGTGCGTTTTGCCCTGCCGGGGAGCGGGGTTACCCTGTCGTCTCGAGATCTTTGCGCTTTGAGACCCGTTTTCTGACTCGCCATGGTCATCGCCGCGATGAGTGCCCTGGCCATGGACAGCCTTTCCCACATTGTCGGGGAGGGGCCCCTCATCAACGCAGAGAAGGCCGAGTGTTTCGGTGGGTTTTCCCCGACGGATGGGAAGGTGTGAAATGGTGGAAAATGAGTCAAAGGGACCTGACCGAAAGACCTCTAGATATTTCATGATATTTCATTCCTAAATTGGACCCAAGTTACAAAGCAGGTCAATATCATTGATTTGAGTGAATATTTCTTTGACAGGTCTGATCTCAGTTTAAGTTGCTGTTGGTTTAGAAACAATCCCAAATCGTGTCTAGAGCTCGCAAGGATCGGTCTTTAGGAGATGGGGCACACGGTTGAGAAATTCTATTGTGGGTTTAAGAAAAAACATGCATTGATGGTGAGTTCGACTGTTTGCTGGTGTGGGGAGACGGTTTCTTCAATTACTCTTAGAAAAGGAGAAAACGCGACATGACAGAGCTTCTCTCCGACGGTTGTGTTCATGTCGCATATCGTTTGGACAGAAAGCTCGAGGTGAAGATCCCGAAGCGAAAGACATGAGACATGAAGCTCTGAAGCGCCCCGTTTCGAAACTGATCCCTTCGGTGCGCTTCAGAAGGCTCGAGCAGAGACTATGCCAGACATGGCTCCGAGCAGAGGTCCAGAATCCTGCCGGTTCGGGGGTGTATCTCACTATGCCTTCGACCCTTGACGCCCAGAGACTGGTCGTAAGAATGCTCCGTTCGTAGCGCTGCCAGGAGCCCGGATCGTAGCGTCCTTGTTCCGTTCGTAGCTGGGGCTCCTACCTGGCCTTTTTTTGGAATCTGATGCGAACCCCTGGGCTTCACGCTCTCCCATCTCTCCCATCTCTCCTTCATCTCCAACGAGCCAAAGCGTGTGGGTTTTCAGTCCGCTTTCCGCAGGAGTTTGACCGCTTCACGAAGAGCTATGAGTTTGCCATCGAAGCACAGAAGCTGAAGCGTCGCTTGGATTGGTGGATGTTGCGCCCTTCATGTCGTCGCTTCGGAAGATCTTTGATTTGATGTACTCTGGGGAAGAGAACTGGCATGCAGAGGCTTTTGACCATGAAACTGCACCCAGTTCGGTGAGTGGTTCCAGTTTCAGACAACTATCTTTGGAGATCTTTGGAGTGGGAACTCTTTATCCCAGTCTTCCAGTCGGCCCAGTCGTCGAACGCCGATTCAGCCACGGCATCTTCCGAGCGGTCTCGCCGCCTCTTCACGGTGAGGTGAAGACATCAAAAGTCTCATGGAGCTGGTCGTGGATCGAATGGCCCCTCGTTTTTCGGCACTGCCCGCACTGGGCACATCGATCAGAGAGATATGTGATGTTTCTTTTTGGGGTGGTGATCTATTTATCAATCAATTTATTTATATGTTTTTTTATTGCGGGCAATGGTGCTCTTATCTCTTTTGGCGGTGATTGGTGGATGGATGTCACGGATTCCTTTTTGGGGTCGCTTGACCCTTGGTTGGAATCACATATTCGACCGTGGCATCGCGTCTCTTGAAAGTGTGATTGACAGTGAAGTCTTAGAGGCACAGCCGTTTTCTCCTATGAGATTAAATTTGTATGCTGTGGCCACGTGACGCTTTTTCACCTGCCTCCGGTTTTCGGCATCGAACCGGTCCAACCAGTGTCGACACATGTGGGTGTCGAAGCATCCAAAATTACTGTATGCTGATAGCGGTCAAGGTGTGCGTCAGAACCTAGGCGACCAAAACCAGGGGCGACCGGAATAACACTGGTTTGGCGGGATTGGTTGGAGTCTATTCTATTTCGATTGAAGGCTATACAAACTATATCAACGAAGTCAAAAGAGGTTGGACGGTTGGCCGGTTTTGCTTGGTTGGCCTGTGTGTACATGCGCGGAGCTGCGCGTACGAGTCTGCGCGGTGTGTCTGAGGACATGTACCATCTTATTGGAGCGCTCCTTTTGGAGTTTTGCGTTGGCTTCTACGGCGAGTTCAAAATGCTCGAGCAGGAGAATCACTCGTCTTCCTATCAAATCATGGCATTCCATATCTATCTATCTATCTAATCTGATCTGATCTGATCTGATCTGATCTGATCTATCGATCTATCGATCTATCGATCTATCTATCTATCTATCTATCCTAGCCCCCCCAAAAAAACCCACCTTGCACCACTTGATTGGGAAGTTTTCAGGAAAACGATCTGGATCTGAATAAGATTGACACCCTTCAAATGAAAGCAATCAAACAACTGGTGAAGAAAATTGAAGATATAGAAAAAGGAAAATCTGATCGGATTATGTATAAACTACCAAATATGTAATTATAGCTTGTATTGATTAATGTTTGGATGTAGGATATGTACATATCGTCTGAACCCCTGACTTTTGGCTCAAAGGGAAACAAAGCGCGCTCCGCCGGGTTTTGAGCGTCCATACCTCTTTTCATGGTAGCGGAGCTCTTGGTGACCGTGCTTGCGCTGGTTGTCATCAAAACCAAAACTCTGAGGAGAATCTTTGGTTTCAGCCTGAAAGATGTTATTTTGGTGTTCATCGAGTTTTTTGTTTTTTGGCTTCATTCATCAAAAACAAAAATCACAAGTTTTGTTTTTTGCTTTGGTCTATGCAACCTGGAATCACCAAAAACCAAGAAAACACACGTTTTTTGTTTTTGCATTTTTTTTAAAAGCAAAAAACCTTTTGTTTTTGGGCATTGGTGATTGTA